GGATGTGAACTGAGGTCTTCCTGACTTGAGGTGTAACGCTCTAGCAACTGTGCCACATAGAGGACATCAGCTCTTTCTTATACCTGGCGCCAGCCTGGAAAACTGTAACCATTTGTCTGAAGGTCGGCCTCAAAGAGCGTCTGGAGCAAAAGCCTACGAGGGTTTCAATATTTCCTCTTTGAATTATAGGTGTCCTTTTGGAGCTGCAAATGGAGCACTGGCCCTGGAGTCAGGAGGACCTGAGTTCAAATCCGACCTCAGACACTTACTAGCCGTGTAACCCTGGGCAAGTCACTTAACCTGATTGCTTCCAAAAAAAAAAAAAGAGTCTCCTTTTGCATAAGCAGTGGCATACAAAATGTCCCAGGGAGTGACTGGGAGTTCAGACTATATTCTACATTCTCAATTCTCTCCGATTCTATCATATTATCATATTGACTATGGTTCTATCTACTCTGATCACGTATCTCTTCCACCTCCCTCTGTCCTCCCAGCACCTCCTATCCTCCCTCTTTCACAAGCTCTTTTCCTCCTTTCTACCTCTCCCTCTCCCTACCTTCCTCTGGTTCCCCTTTTCCAATCATCCATCACTATCCTTGACAAGCAGTTGGGAAGGTTGGGTGGGGAGGGGAGCACAGAACCCAAAGGTGTATTGTCCGGCTGAAATCATCCCCCACTGTATGTGTAACAAAATGCTTTCCTTATTTTCCTCCTGCCCTCTCATTCTTTGCAAACCAGTGAATCCAGTCCCCTTGGCCCCTTGGTCCTCATCACAGAAGACACTCTATCTCTAGTTCCATGAATTTTCACCAGCTGTCTCCCGTGTCTGGAGGTCTCTTCCGTCCTCATCTCTGCCTCCTGGCTTACTTGGTTTCCATCAAGTCCCAATCGAAATCCTACCATCTTTCCTGATCCACCTTAATGCTAATGCCTTCCCTTCAGTCTGTCACACACACACACACACACACACACACACACACACACACACACACGGCTTGTACATAGTGGTTTGCATTTTGCTTCCCCCATTAGACCATGAACCCCCTGAGGGCAGGAACTGGTTTTTACTTTTTCTTTGTATCCCTGGCACTTAGCATAATGTCTGGCACACAGTCGGTGCTGAATAAATGCTTGTTGATTTGACTTGTTGACTATTAGTTTCACAGTTTCAGAGGGGGCCTCAAAGATCATTTGGACTTCCTCCTCTCCCTGCCCCCCATTTTCCAGATGAGAAAACTGGGACCAAAGAGAGGGATCAATTTCCCTAAGGTCACCCAGTTAAAAGTAAATGCCATAACCTATGTCCTCTGTGTTCCAAAGTGGTTTGCGAGGTATAATGTATAAGAAGACTGGAAGAATAGGAGGGAATCAAGTTATGAAGCCTTTTTCATTCCAAACAGAGGATTTTTTATTTGACCTTGGAGGTGATAGAGAGCCACTGCAGTTTATTGAATAAGGGAGGGTAGTGATGTGGTGAGACTTGTACTTTAGGACGATCACTTTGGTAATTTCCTCTCTCTACCATACTTCTTAATCAATATTTGTTGAATAATAATAATAATATTTTTATAGAACTTACCATGTGCCAGGCACTGTGCTAAGCGCTTTACAATTGCTATCTCATTTGAGACTCACAACAACCTTGGGAAGCAGGCATATTTTTTAATCATCCCCATTTTACATTGGAGGGAACTGAGGCAAAAAGAAGTCAAGTGACTTGCCGAAGGTCACACAGCTAGGAAGTGTTGTCAATAGGCAATCACAACGTCTAAGGCTAGATTTGAACTCAAAGTCTTCCTGACTCCAGGTTCTGAGCTCTATCCACTGTGCCACCTAGCTGCCTGTTGAATGGATCCTCATGTCTCATCGGCAGTTCTTGAAAGAGTACTGGACTAAGTAAGCGTCAGAAGACCTGAGTTCTGCTCCTCAGGCAAATTACCAGGGCCTCCATTGTCTAATATGTGAAATGCAGAGAGTGGACCAGACATCCTCTGAGATCTCTTCTAGTTGTAAACCTTTTTTGTTGGTCGTGTCTGACTCTCTGCGATCCCGTTTTTGGGTTTCCTTGGCAAAGATACTGGAATGGCTTACTATTTCTCCAGCTCATTTTCCAGATAAGGAAATTGAGGCAAACAAGGTGAAGTGACTTGCCCAGGGTCACACAGCTAGTAAGTGTCTGAGGCTGGATTTGAACTCATGAACATGAGTCTTCCTGATTCCAGACCTGGTGCTCTATGCACTATGGTGCCCCCAGTTGCACTTTCTAAACCCTCTGATCCCATAATAGAGAGGAAGGAGAGCAGAGTACAGAGAGCACTGGACTTTCAATGGGGAGAGCACACAAGTACTTCACCACTTTTTGGCTTCAGTTAATCTTGAGCAAATTGTCACAGGCCAGGGGCTCAGAAACCTGGATTCAGGGATCAAGAGCAGAAGTTATACATTTACCAGGCAGGCAGGTTAGAGATACCAACTTTCCCCAACTGACAGGCAGTGTGGTCCTGAAGTTCTGCTTTAAAATCACTTTTTTGGGATTTAGGACATATTGCCCAAAGAAAAAAATTGGGCTAACCTGATTCAATCCCAGGCTAGCTCACAAAAGCCTTCCTCAGTCATTTTTTTAGTTGTGATCAACTCTCCATGATCCTGTTTGAGGTTTTCTTGGCAAAGATGCTGGAGTGGTTTGCCATTTCCTTCTCCTGCTCATTTGACAGATGAGGAAACTGAGGCAAATAGGGTGAAGTGACTTGCCCAGGATCACACAGCTAGGAAGTGTCTGAGTCTGGATTTGAACTCAAGAAAAAGAGTCTTTCTGACTTTAGGGTCAGCACTCTATCTATCCACCATGCCGCAAACCACACCTGACCACATTTCATGATGGGAAAGTGAGTTTAGAATTCAACTATGGGGTTCCGGATCTAGAGACACTCCCATTTTATAGCACTTAATAGCACAGTATTCCCTCCCTGGAAGCCCTCTGAAGTTAGATTGCCTCAGTGCATCAGTGAATCTAGATCTTCTCACTTTGGTCCATCGTCACACCCACCCCACCCTACCCCATTCCATCCCACCTCCAGCTCCACCCCAAGTACTGGTTGATAAGAGGCAAACAAGCAACAATGGACCTTTGGAGGAGGGCCTGCCCTGAGGTAGGAAGTGTGAGTGCATTGTCCTCATGTTGCAGAGGGGGGAAATTGAGGCTCAGCAAAGTGAAGGGAGTTAGCCCCAGATCACACAGCCAGGATTCAGGTGCTTTGACTCCAGATGCCAATGTTTTTTCCCCTACACCCTGAGGCTCATTGGGTCCTACCTCTAGGAGGGCTCCATTGGTGTTTTATCAAGGAGGCTGGTTGCTCCCTATGGAGACGTTGTGTTGTGGTCAATTTTTAACTTTTTCAGTTTTGATTCTGGTAGGCCTGCCCATCTGCTCTATAGTTGGGATAACCTCTCTGCCTGTGAGTGCTGGGGAAGTAAGTGGGTGTTGATTAGCAAGTGTCTTTGCCGCTGTAGGTACAAACCTCCGCCTAGGAGTCCTTTCTGACTACTCCTCTATTCCTTGTGACATCAACTGTTTCTCTCAGAGTACTGGAATACTCTCAAGTACATTGAGAACTGGACCTCCAGGCAGTTAGGCAATGTATAAGCACTTCTTAAGCACCTACCTTGGGGCCAAGCACTGGCTACAAGCTAAAGATGCAAAGAAAGGTTAAAAAAAAAACCAAACAAACAAAACTGTCCCTGCCTTCAGGGAGTTCACAGTCTAATGAGGGAGGCAACGTGCAAATTACTGGGTACAAACAAGCTACATACAGGATAAATTAGAAATAATCAACAGAGAAGACACTAGAATTAAGGGGGATTGGGAAAGGCTTCTTGTAGAAGGTGGGATTTTAGTTGGGACTTGAAGGAAACCAGGAGGCAGAGATGAGGAAAGAAAGCATTCTAAGCATGGAGGACAGCCAGAAAAAATTCCTGGAACAGGGAGATAGAATGTCCTGTTCGTGGAAGAGCCAGGAGGCCAGTGTCATTGGATCCAAGAGTACCTGGGGTTGTGGAAGGCATAAGAAGACTGGAAAGGTAGGAGGGAGTCAGGTTATGAAGGCTTCTTAATTCCAAGCAGAGAATTTTCTATCTGATCCTGGAGGTGATAGGGAGCACCTGGCATTTATCAAAAGAAGGAGTGGCAAGGTCAAACTTGTGCTTTAGGGAGATCATTTTGACCTCCGAGTAAAGCAGAGATTGGATTGGGGAGAGACTTGGGGCGGCAGATTCCTCCCCCTCCCACTCCAGCAGCTATTGCAACTGTCCAGGTAAGAGGTGATGAGGGCCAGCCAAGAGAGTGGACAGAAGGTCACAATAAGAGATGTTACAAAGATAATATTGACTCAACTTGCCAATAAATCAGATATGGGGGGGGAAGTGGTAAGAGTGAGGAGTCTAGAATGAACCTTAGGTGACTGGGAAGATGGTGATACCCTAATATGGAAGTTAGAAAAAAGGATGGATTGGGGGTGGGATTGGGATAGCAATTGTTATTATCATTTACATGATGGCGAATATATGACATATCAAATTGCTTACCATCTTACAGAGGGGGGAGGGGAGACAGAACTTAAACTTTTATATAAAAAATGTTAAAACTGTCTCTATATGCAATTAAAAAATAAAACACTATCTACTGGGAGAAATAGACATCATTTATATAGTGCTTGAAATTTTGTGCAATATTTTACAAATAGTATCTCATTTTATCCTTACAACAACCCTGGGAAGTAGGTGCTATTATTATTGGGAAGTCCTGGGTTCAAACCCTCCTTCAAATTTTGTTCAGTTGTTTCAGATCTATGTAACGCTTTGTGATCCCATTTGGGATTTTCTTGGTAAAGATACTGGAGTGATTTGCAATTTCTTTCTCTAGCTTATTTTACAGATGAGGAAACTGAGGCAAACAGGGTGAAATGACTTGCCCAGGGTCACACAGCCAATAAGTTTCTGAAGCAAGATTTGAACTCAGGAAGAGAAGTGTTCCTGATTCCAGGAGTTCTATCCTCTATGGAGCCACCTGGCTGCCCCCTCTTTCAGATATACACAGGCTTTATAACATCCTCTTTCTTAGTCTCAGTTTCCTCATTTGGAAAAGGGTCATAACATTATCTGTAGTACCTACCTCACAGAGTTGCTGTGAGGTTCAAATGAAATAATATATGTAAAGAACTTTACAAGCATTAAAAATGCTATATAAATGACATTTACTTTATTCTCCTCTTCAGAATGCTGAGAGGTTCAGAGATGTGGAACTAGAAGGGATTGTAGGGGTCATTTAGCCTAATCCTCTCATTTTACACATGTGAAAACTGAATTTCAGAAAAGGACCCAGTCCCCAGCTCTGCTCCTCAAAACTGGAGAAACAATGAATTCTAAGAGTTCCGGTCCCTTATGCCAAACCTGATGTCCTCAGGACTCAGGACACCCGAACCCAAATCCTTCAGGTGATGCTTAATCCCCACTGATACCCCCAGGAAGGAGAACTGGCCCCCTGCATATGAGATCAGATTCCCTATCAGACCGGGGCCTGGGCCCTATCGAGCATTAACAAAGTCTCCCGGCCTCTGGGTTACTGATTAATGATGAATTTTAACAACAACAATAACAACAACCACAACCGTGTGCTGGTACCAGTAACAGCACAACAGGGATTGGAACCCAAAGGCAGGCTCAGGCACGTGATAAGGGAAAAGCAGCAGATAAAAAGCCCTGCCCATCTTTATCGAGCGCTACCGAACCAAGCTGCAGTCCGTGCAATGTCTGGAATGGAGGAGACGCAGGGCGGACTTTCGGAGGGAGCAGAAACAGGTTTACCAGACTTGGCAGCATGCCCCGTGGTCTGTGCCCATGCCCCAGAGCAGACAGGAATGCTCCAGACTAAATCCCTGGGAGCATTCCCTGCTGAAACAGAGGCGCAGGAGTCCCCCAGTTCTGCTGACAGAGACTTGGAGTGCCTGGTGTGCTGCCACCGATACAGCTGTGACCGGCTGCCCAAAGTGCTAACCTGCCAGCACATCTTCTGTGCCGTGTGCCTGAAGCTCCTTCTGACCATCCGAGAGGACTCGTGGATGGTCATCTGCCCCCTGTGCCGGACGGCTACCTCTGTCCCAGGGGGGCTGATCTGCAACCTTCGGGACCAGGCGGAGGTCTTGGGGGGGCTGACGGCTCTCGGTCCTGAGGTACAGCTCTCTCCCCAGCAGCTAGCTCAGCCCACGAGAAGAGGGGTGGTCATCGTGTTGGATGGGGACACTGAGGACTCGGTCAGTGCCAATCGAGCAGCCGCCCGGAGACTGGCTGTCCTCCTGGGGCTGCTGGTGCTTCTCATCTTCCTCATCCTCCCTTTTGTCTACCCTGGCATGATTCGGTGGGTCTTGGTCTTCATCATGTGCCTGGCACTGCTGCTTTCTTCCATGTTCTGTTGCCTACCAGGCAGCAGAGGCTGCTGTAGCCCCGCTAAAACCCTCCTGTCCGCACAGCAGAAACACAGCCACGTGGCTTCCATTGCCTGACAGGTCCCCGCTGGGGAAAAGGGCCAATGGAAAGATTCCCAAGAGGAAAAGACTCCTTCCAGCCAGAGACTTCTGTATTTCGCAAGGAACAGGAAGCAGTGGAGGTCCCCTCTGATACGATGAACTAGCTGTTGTCTCCCTCAGGCACCAAACATTCTGGGCCTCATTGGATTCAAACACTGCAAGGGTGTCTGGTTCCATGGGCGTGTGTTTGGAAGGTGAGGTGGAACCCAGCTGCTCTGGCCTTTGTTTACCAATACCAGAGGCCTCCGGGTCCGACTTCTAGGCTTTAGATGAGACCTGCTCAGGGTGGAGATGGGAGCTTACAGATGAAGAGGAAGAGGACCCTGGGGATATTGCTGTGTTTGCTTTGTTTACTTTTTACCTTGAACTGAAACAATTATTATTAGGTGGGTTTCTCAGGCTATCTCTGTAAAATGAAAGGGTTGGTCATCATCAATTCCAATAAACTTTGTTCTGATGTTCCTCATTCTAAGGCCCCTTCCAACTATAACATTTTGTGTTTTAAGGCTCCTACCTCTGATGTTCCATGATCTAAGACCCTTCCCAGCTCTAACATTCTATGTTCTAAGGGCCCTCCCAGCTCTTACACTTCATATTTTAAGAGCTCTGGAGTTCTGCATTCTAGGGTCCCTTACAGTTCGGACATCCTATGAGTCTATGATTCTGTGATTCCTACCCAGGGAAGAATTGATTCATGGGCTTCAGGGCATTAGGATCCCCAATTAAGCTTTGTCATAAAGATAAGAAGAGTCATAAATACAACAGTTCTTCCCACCAACCTCCACCCCTTTCCAACCACTGTTTCTCTGGAAAGTTTTCATTTAATGTGTCACTTGGGTGAAGGCCAGGTTCAGATGAAGGTCCTTCTAGGCCTTAGACCCCTCTCTGTTTCACAAGTCTATTGGTTGTTGCCTTTTTCATAAGTGTATTGATTTCTCTGAGTAGATAGATGATCAAAACTATCTTATGTGTCTCTATTTATTCAAGAAGAGACCTTTGTTACAGGTTTTTAGCAAATGCCCTCCAAAAAAAACAAACCTTTACTCCCCCCGCCCCACCAAAAAAAAAAAAAGGGCTTGCACAGTCAAAACATTTTCCTTCGGCCTTCAGCACAGTGGGCCTGCTGGGCATATTGGATAATGAGGCCATCTAGAAAGTCTGAGGCACTTTTTTTTTTCCCTGTCATCATCTCCAAGTCAGAACAACTCTCAAAGGAGCAGACATGTTGGAAGGCTCTCAGCCAACTTTAATGGGCATCTTTAAATCTTTTAATGTTTGGGATGTCTGGATGCCTAGCCAAAGGAACTTGGAAAATGGAGAAAATAAGATTTTTGGCATTTGACCATTGATTCCTCTTGGGAAGAAATGAAAAGCAGTTACTGGAGCTAGATAAGTCTCCTGCCTGCTCCCAAGATAACTCTGTATTTCTGTAAAAATGAGGGACTTGGACCATATAAGCCCTCCCAGCTCTGACATCCTGTGTTCTAAGGGCCCTCCCAGCTCTGACATCCTGTGTTCTAAGGGCCCTCCCAGCTCTGACATTCTGTGTTCTAAGGGCCCTCCCAGCTCTGACATTCTGGGTTCTAAGGGCCCTCCTAGCTCTGACATTCTGGGTTCTAAGGCTCCTCCCAGCTCTTACATTCTCTGTTCTAAGGGCCCTCCCAGCTCTGACATTGTGTGTCCAATGACCCTCCCAGATCTGACATCCTGTGTTCTATGCTTCTGTGATTTCCATCTGGAACACAACTGAATTTTCTTAGAGAAATAAAATGGTGGCCCCAGGCCTGCAAGCAAATGGTTGATTGTACTGTACCTAGACCAGATCCATAAAACTAGAGTTCCCTGTGCCTTAATGATTACCATCCTTTACCCTATCAGTTGATATTTGTGGAGTCATGTCCCATGGGGGCTCAGCTCTGTGCTAGGCAAATGCTCCAGTCTATGGGTGCTCCTTCAGGGCATCTTTGATGGGAGAACTCAGGGATATGCCTCACTCAAGAAACAAATGAACAAACCAATTCTCTCTGAATGTTCAGAATTTGGTATTTCCTTTTTCAAAAATGTTCTTCACCTCACTATCCTTTAAAAATTATATATAATGTATATAATTTTGTATATAGAAACATATATTTATATAAAATATGTTCTATATGTATGTGTATGTTTGTAGTTATTTCTTCTTCTGCTCCCAGCACTGAAGTCATGGATTAGAAGGCTCTGGGGCAATCCATGTGTTGGACTTTCCAGTCACTTGGGATGCTCGCTATTGGTAATGCCTTGGGAAGAAAGGCATGTGGAAGAAAAAAGAGAATGTGCATAGAAGGAAAACCCCAGGTCCCAAGACCTGGGCTTGAGTTTCAGCTCTGCCACAAACTCAGTGTGAGTTTCGGCAGTTCACTTCCTTCTCTCGGTTGTTTCTTCTGTAAAATTGTTGGGAGGGGAGGGAGGAACATGAGATTAGACCCCCCTACACTACATAGATGGTCTCTGAGGCCTCATTTAGACAGGTTGGTGGCACAGTACATAGAGTACTGAGCCAAGAGTCAGGAAAACATGAGTTCAAATCTGTCTCAGGTATTTACTAGCTGTGTGCCCCATGGCAATTCTATTTGCCTCAGTTTCTGTAAAATGGGAATAGTAGTAACAGGATTGTTGTGAGGATCAAATGAGATAATAATTGCAAAAGCATTTAGCACTGTCCCTGGTACATAGTAGGTGCTTAATAAATGCTTGTTCCCTTCCTTTTCCCTTCATTCAGCATTGAGTCAATGTGTATATTTAACTGTCATGTGAATCTAAGGATGCATTTTTAAAATAGGTATTTGAGGTTTATCTCTGTGAAACCTATGTATAAACCATTATGCGTTTATTAGCATCTTGGGCCCAATGTGCTTTATGGGGGGGAGGGGCAGGGGTGCAACTGGGGTCAAGTGACTTGCCGTGGGTCACACAGATAGTCTGTATCTAAGGCCAGATTTGAACTCAGGTCCTCCTGACTCCAGGGCCAGCATTCTATCCACTGCACCACCGAGCTCCCCCAACCAATGTGTTTTTTATGCATGATCTGGAAAAGATTGATTCTCACCCAATACCCCTAGTAAATTCAGATAATTGTTTTGTATTTTCAGGCTTCCGTTGGTCCTAGGTTGTTCATGGTTGGCTGTGTGACTCCCTCATTCTTATCTTCCAGCTAGCCCCTTCCAGCACCCCCATCCTGCCCCAACTTTTAGTCTTCTGCTTCTCTAACCAAATGGAAAGGCACAGGTTTTAGGCATAGGAAATTCACCCAGCTAGGTTTGAGTCCTTACTCTGCCACTAATTCACTCCATGACCTCAGGCAAGATACAAAACCTCTCTGGGCTTCAGTTTTGCCATTGGTAAAATGAGTCAACTAAGTGATCTCCGAGGTCCACTTCTGATTATTTAAGACTATGCAGCAAGCACCCTAGAGTGCCCGAGCACACCACTCAAGAATTACTGCAAGAGACCAAGAAAGGCAGTACAGGGCGGACGTTATAAAGAAGTCTCCTGAAGTAGTTCCATGTATTTAAAGTCAACACTATTTGAAGTTATAATTATGTAAAATATGATCACTGGCTCCAGGCCAATGGAAATATGCAGCACAGACCCAAATAATGCAACCAATAGAGGAGTGTATTATTCACACCTATCAGGACCTAGAAAATGCGCTAGACTTGGAGACATAAAGCCTGGCTAACTGTGTGCCTTTGAGTAAATCACTGCTCTTCTCTCTATGTTTAACTTAGCTCTTCCGTAAAATGTTGGGGTTGGACTAGATGGTCTTTTAAAGCCTCTCCCAACTCTGACATCCTGTGTCCTAAGGGCCCTCCCAGCCCAGACAGTTCATGTTCTAAAGGCAACCCCCCTTCCCAGCCCTGACATTCTGTGTTCTGAGGCCCCTCCCAGCCCTGATATTCTGTGTTCTAAGACCTCTTCCAGCTCTGACATTCTATGTCCAAGAGCCCTCCCAGTTCTAAAACTTCATGATTGTTTGTAAAGTCTGACATATTTGGAGCCTCATGCCTATCTTGAGACCTAGAGAAAAAGAAAGAAGGAATGCAAAGCCTGGGGTGGATGCATGCTTGCTGTATGGTATGGTGGTCTAAGCCACCGGGTCTAGTCTCAAGGTTGTGTGACCTTAGACAAGTCATTAAACTTCTCTGGGCCTCACTTCCACCTATAAAATGGACATAATTCTCCCTTCCGCGCTATCCTTATCAACCTGTTGCTAAGGATCAAATGAGATCCTTTTGTGAAAGTGCTTAGAAATTAACAGCAAATGTCCTTGCTCCCTCTCTAACTAGCAGCACCCCCTCCCATCTCCTGTTGACTTGCTTGGGTGGGGGCTCAGATACTTCACATGGCCAGCCCCACCCCCTACAGCCCCGCCAGCCCTGACCAGCCTCTAGATCCTGATGCCATAGAGGCCACCTGTCCCTTGGAGTGCTCCTCCAGGGACAGAGGGCATCAGCCGCAGCTGCTTTCCCTTTGAAGAAAATAAGGAGGCAGACAATGCGTGGAAAGTGAGTGTGTATAAATAAGCCATATAATCAACCTGAGCTCTTATTTGAGGAGGAGAACCCCCACTTTGACCCCCATGGGTGTGGAGCTGAATCAGGACCCCTCAATGTACCCTCTGGAGGCCTACAGAGTTTCCTGCCACTGGATTGGCTGAGCACCTGGGGATCATGGCCTTAGGAGGAGAAGGCAGCTGTCACCATGAGACATAATTTAGGATGTTCTAGAAAGCTCTCTACTTGGAAAATATCTTCTCCAAGGGCATGCCCCGGTGGCATGAAACCCCACCATTAGAGTTTTGTTCCTTGTAAGGGTTAAGGCACTATCTCCAGTCCAATTCGAAAGCTCTTCTGAGGCAAACACTGGCTAAAAAGAGGTTTTAATGGGAGGAGGAGCAGGTAACGTCAATTATAAAGGATTATGAACAGAACTCTGCTCAATGCTGGAAAGTCCACAAAGCTCAGGAAAGGCAGGTTCTCTGCCCTCACAGAACTTAAGGTGCACTAAAGAACTAAGTCACAAAACGGATGACTCTTACAGAATATTAATAATAGGTACATTGGAAAGCAGTGCAACAAAACCCTATGTGAGGCCTAGGGTGAAAGTCATTACCAAATGAAGGGGCTGCCATTTGCTTACCTCCAAGGACCCTTTCCGGTCTTTCTAGAGCAATGGATGAGTACAAAAACGGAGGGAGAGCATCCCACAAATAGCGAGAAAGGTGAGTATGGGGAAGGGTTCGAGGCACTCAGGGGGCAATGAGTGGTCAGTCCTTTCTGGCTATGGAATCATTGTTGTGAGGGGGGCTGGGGATGGGGCATCGTGAGTGTCAAGGCCTGAGAGGCCAAGGAAGCAGGAGGGCATTAGGTCCTTTGAGTAGTGGACATAGGGAGATTGAAAAAGATTGAAAAGGAAAAGGGAAGGTACTAGAATACTGAGGTCACCAGGCTAGGAATCAGGAATCCCAGGCTCTAGGCCCAGCTCTACCATTAACTAGTGCACTGAGAAAGATATGTTACCCTCTGGGCCTTAGTTCATATAAAATAAAGAAGATAAGCTTGGCGTCAGAGTTCTTCTGGGCTTAACATTCCGTACTCAAAAGTTCCTTCCAGTTCTATGTCTCAAGGTCTCTTCCAGCTAGAACATGTTTTGTTCTATGATCTGTATTTGGTGCTACCATTCTCACTTAGAACATTCACACTTCTAAGTCTCTTCTAGGTCTCATAGTCCATGTTCTTAAGGTCCCTTTCAGTGCTCATATTCTGTGTTTTAAGGTCCTTTCCAGCTCTAAAATTCTATGGTCTCCTGACCTTCCCAACTCTGACATTGTGTTCTAAGGGCCCTCCCAGCTCTGACATCCTGTGTTCTTAAGGTCCCTTTCAGTGCTCATCTTCTATGTTCTAGGGTCTCTTCCAGTTCTATCATTCTATGTTCTAAAAGTCAGATCTGACTTTCCGTGTTCTAAGGGCCCTCCCAGCTCTGACATTGTGTTCTAAGGGCCCTCCCAGCTCTGACATCCTGCGTTCTAAGAAACATA